CGGGTGCTGTGGGAAAAGACTTTTGCTGCCCCGGGGAGGGGGGATGTGAGAAAAAGAGCCCCATTTGGGAGCACAGACCCCCAAATCCCAACCATTTTGGGCCAGCAGCCGGCACATTCCAAGCTCCTGCCATGGGGAAGCGCATCCAAGCTGGCATTTCTGCCCAGGACAAAGGCAGCCCAAGCCTTCCTGCCCACTTGGATGGGGACCCATCCAAAGGGTGCCTTAAAACGCTGGGATGGTGGTGCTGGGATGGCGGTGTTCTGGGACGAGAATAAGGCATTTCCCAAAAGAGTTCAGCTGGAGGATGCGGGGAATGTGGCTCACGGCATTGCTCCTATGGGAAGGGAGGCATAGTCCCCCCTCCCATGCCAGGAAGGTCCCAGCAGCACTGGAATGCTCAGTCCCCCCCGGGGGCTTGCCGGGATGGCAAAGACGCCAAATTTCACTTACCGAGCGCCTGTGCGGATGCGAGGGAGGCAGCACGAAGGAGCTGTAAAACCGGAGCTGTCTGGGGCAAGGATCTGCGGGATGCCAACACAGCTGGAGCCTTTCACGTTATAAACATTTATTTATAGATGTACAATTGTATCATTAAGTCTAAATCGAGAGATACAGCCTCTGGGAGCGTCCGTTAGGATCTGCGCCTTCTCGCTCGTTATTATCCATGGGTATCTACTTGGGGAAAAAAAAAGAATAATCAGGAGGTTTTGGCGGGCAGGCTCTGGGCAAAGAATGCCGTTGTGCAAGACGTTCAGCACCTCCTGCGGAACGTGATTTTCGTTTAACCCCCTCCCCACGATCTCTCCATGCCGGTTAGCCTGTGCCTCTAAGAGCTATTTCCGAACGCCGTACTTGCACCCAATTCCTTCCAAAGGTGGAAGAATCACTTTAAAAAAAAAAAAAAGAGAGAGGAAAAAAACCACCTTAAAATCAGGTCCAAGTCATGGTGGCTGTGGGATAATAAGGCTTGCAGTTTTTACAGGAGGGCTGATATTTTGCAAAATAAATAAACAGCTGAAGACGGAGCACGTGGATTCCTAACGACAAAGAAATAAAACCACCTTAACTCTCAACTCTTCCAGCCCCTGCCACCCAACCCGGGAGCCGCCGCGCTTTTGATTCATTCCCCCCGAGCGCGTCGGGGGACGGTTCATCACTGGCAACATCTTTAGACAAAAACTGAACTGCAGAGTACCAAAAAAAAAATCTAAAATAAAATCAAATCCAGTTTATTCCATAGAAGGTAGCTCCGCTCGTGCCGGCTGTGCTGGAAGGGATGGCTCCCAACCTCGAGTACCCTCCCACTGGTCCTGCCCGACGGCCAGCGAGCGAGAGACGCGCTGCAGAGCTCAGGCCGGGTCCGAGGAGCGACGGAGCGCACGCTCCCATCTCCCCCGGCACAACTTCTTTCAACAGAAGCAATGGAAAGCTCCGTTTCTTATGAATTAGCAGTATTTTACAGGTCTCCTCTAGGAAACGTTAGGGAGAGGGTGCCAAGGCCACGGCCACGTCACGAACGGGGGCTGCGGGTGGGTGAGGAACCCCCAGTGTAGGACACGCGCACAAAAAAAGCCCCGACAAAGGGAGACGGCTTGTGGAAAGCCCTCTTTACAGAACGAACGCCGCTCGCTGATTACGAGGCAAAATTAAAGCAGACGCTGCAAAAAACAGAAGTTACGTGCACAAATCAACCCGACGACTGATGAGCAAAAAAACCATCCAGGACAATCCTTCCCATCACTGAGGGCGACGCCGGGGCTCAGCTGACCCGCTGCAGCTTCTGCCAACGCTGCAAAACCACACCACAAATCCGGGCAGTTTCCCCGATTCCTTTGTCACCCCCGACAGATTTGGAATTTCTGCTATTAAAACCCGAGAGGCAGGTATCGACATCCCAAGCCACAGAGCACCGCTGTCCTCCAGAAAGCAAAATACAGCAACCTGCAAAGTGATTCTTGTTCTAGTGCGTCAGGCAGGAAAGCGCTGTGCAGCGAGACACCCCGGGCAGAGGCTTCCCGCTTCCCTGTTCACCAAACCGGGCAGAAAACAAAATAATTTAATCATCCAACCCCTGCATAGTTTAAAAGTACAACGTATATACAGCTATAAATTAATTCTAAATAGATTATATTTTCTTTTTTTTTTTTCTTTTTAAGAGTTTTCTTTCGTCACCAAACCGTCCCGATTTCTCTCTCTCCGTCGGCAGTGACCAGCGTGGTTGCGAAGGGTCTCCTCCTGCTTTGTGGCTTTTGCAGTTAGTGTTACGCTACGCTCTACGTGTCTGTTCTCGGGGTTGTGGGATCCCAGAAGCAACGAGACTGTGGCACGCTAGCAGTGTCGGAAGGGAAGGAGGAAGACGGGCAGCTTGATTTCCTGTCCTGATCGCTGCCTGAGACGCAGGTCGAACGGCAGAGACGGGCAGAGAGAAGAAAGAGGGCAGTTGTGCGTCGCTAATTCTCTGATTCCATTTTTAAGATAAGGTTTGATTCTTTTTAAATATCAAGTCTGTCACCTGGGCTCAGTGCACTTCACCAAAAGTCTTCAGGCATTTCAAGAGTCTGGGAACAAAAGCGGTAGCGGTGTCAGTCTCCGGACAATGGCACGTCACTGTACCCACCCCCCCTCTCCCTTCCTTTCTTTCCCCCCTCCCCGTCAGGTTACAGGTAGCAGCTTTTTCATTCACGCTATCCCAATCCGCAGCCGGCCCTCTGTCTAAGAGCGGCTCTTTTCAGACCACGGGTACGGAGAGGCAATTAAAGAAAAGCAGGTAATTAATGCCGGTCTGTTGTGCAAGAAGAGGCGCAGCTACTAAAACAAGAGAGCGGGCAGATGAAGATAAGAATGGCTCCAAAAACAGGATACACCCCCCAAAAAAAAAAAAAAAAAGGCCAAACGTGACCCAGAGGATTTGCTTTAAGGGCCAAACTTTCAGACGCACTCCCTTTGCCAAGGAAAATAAAAGCCAAAGAAAAACTCCCCTGCTAAACCTCCTTACTCGTGTCTACAAATCAAGCAGCCAGATGTCCCAACGTCCCCAAGAAGTCTTTGCAAAGCCTAAATGGTGTCCGTACACCAACGTTTGGCGCAAGCTTCACCTTCCATTTATTTTCTATAGAAACCCTGTTTTCAAATAATTCTGTGGTAGGAGGGACCTGTACGTTTTACAGCCATCCCAGCAGTATCTGGCAGATGAAACCAGCCCAGATAATTAAGCAGAAAAAGGACTTCAAACTCTGTGCCTTTTTTTTTTTTTTCCATTATTTTTGTGTAGTTCTCCCACAACCCAGCACACCTGGTCTCACGCGTGTGCTATCTGGGCTCGCCTTAATTCAAGCTCTCCAACCCACCGGTCTTCCGGACTCCCCCTCGGCTGTTTTCACTTTGATTCCCAGTTTAACGCAGTAAGTTACTTCTACAACCTGCTGTGAACTCTGGCCATTCGCTTTGTTCTCCTGGAGTGCCATGGGAAAGCAAAAGGGGGGAGGGCAAGGAACATCTGTTTGGTAGGAGTCTGTTCCCTGTCATCGTATTTCTTCAAGTGCCAGGGGACAACAGCTTTTTCAGCAAAAGAGACAATAAAGCAACCAAAAAAAGCTTCACTAAAACGCGGCGGCTGGCTGCCATGGCCGCTGGAAAACGAGATCTCAGCTGCGTTGCCAGCGTGCCCGGGGCTTTTGCTCTGTTCCCAGAGACCCAACGGGGACAGCGCCAGAGAAAACAGGGAGCGTGGAGAGAGCCGAGGGTGCCAACATGCAAACTAAACAAAACCCATTTCCCAACGAACGAGCGCACGCTTGACGGAGGGGGGGGTGCTTCCCCCCCGTAACGTGTGTGCATCCAGAGGAGACTCGTGAAGATCTGTGTCTCCAAGAGAGATCTGTGTAGGAAAAGTAGGAAAAGCGCCATCGTGCCCTGCTCCGCTGCCGGGGGAAGTGTCGCCGGCTCGTACTTAGACTCCTGCTGAGCGGGCAGGCGGTGACTATCCGTGCAGAGAGGCTTGAACGTCTGACAGTCTGCTACAGCTGGGGGTGCCCATCTTCTGTGCTCGCTGGTACAGATCTGAGTCTCCAAAGTAGCGTGCCCGGTACAACAAGCCTTCCTCTGCGAAGGGAAAAGCTCAGCATTAGGAAGGCGACGCGGAAGCGGACCCACCCACCAGGCCACGTCCCACCAAGGGACTCTGCTGGGAACAGGAGGCACCTCAAGTTCTCCGAGGTGAGACGAAGCACAGGATGAAGCTGAGGAAATGCCCCGTGCCCTTTAGGACAGGATGGGCGTAACGTCTGCTGACAGCTCATCCATCCCAGGGAAAACCTTAGGAACCTGACGGGACCTGCCTTCAGTCCCAGGAGGCACATGAGGCAGCTTACACAAAGTTACCCTAGCAGCATGGGGAAGAAGAAACACAGAGGCAGCCTTCCAAGCAGGGATGGGATGTGGGACAGAGGACACCACGGGCAGCAGACTTTCAGACACAGTCCTCGAACAACTAAAATATTACACAGAGCTATGGGGGGGCCTCCTGAAAATGAGATGGCTGCAAGCTTCCCCTTCCAGTGGAAATCAGAGATATCCTATTGACACGGCAGAGAACTTCTGGGGCACAACTCCTGTCTGACCAGTTCTACAGCAGCATTAAAAAACGAAAAAAAAAGCCCCATACACTGGACTTGTCACGAAGTCATAGATAGGAAAAAAAGCCAACAATATAGGAAACACACTCGCACCGTGTTAAAGCACAAATTTAGCATAACTCAGTCCCCAGTAAAAGACCTTTCCGAAGCTGACCTCGTGCAGCAGCCAAGACCCTCCGCTTCTGACCCCACGCTACTTACTCTGCTGCTTCTCTTTCCAGCAGTTATTTCGAAGGTTTGCTATATAGTCGTCCTCCACGCTCCTTTCCACGTTTTTCAGGTTCGTGCCCGTGTATTCATCTGCAAAGTTCTCGGATACATAGTAGACGACTTTCAAGTGCTCTGTCATTCTCCTGTGTGTGTGACCCACAGACCTAGTTCAGGGAGAAGAGTCAGAAGAGTGTAGGACACGCTTCAAGGGCAGAGCAAAAAGCTCCCAGCTCTTTTTAACGCACAGCTTGCCACGATACCAAACCGCTGAAAAACCTACATCACTCCTATGCATCCACAGACTTGAAGGTTTGGAAAGGAGAAGCATTTCTGGTGGAAACAAAACGCCAACACAGGGAGAGAAAACCTGCCAGGCCTCTAGCTAGGTGGGCAGAGCTCTGAACACAGACATAACTCTGAGGCAGATTGCCCAAGGCCTAAACCCACTTAAAATAAAGCGTTCATTAGAATTTTCAGCGCTAATTAAACCTCTCTGCAACTTCCTTGCTGACGACACCACCGTCTGTTTTTGCCGGCGAGCCCCAAGGATGGTTACGGAGCTCGGAGGCTGACGCTTGCGTGGTGCAGGGCAAGAGCAGCCCAGCGAGGCAGGACGGTGCCTGCGCAGAGGAGCAGGGCAGCGCCGAGATGAGGGCAGAGCTGTCACAGCTCCCCAGCAACGCCCTCCTGCCCTGGCTCCGCTCAGCAAGGCTGCCCGTCGGTCGAACCCAGTCCCCTCTGCTAAGATGTCCGCTGACCCCAAGAGTGTCCGCTTCCTCTACGGCATCGCACGCTGCAACGAACAGAATCAGACCCGCTCTGTGCTCCAGCCTGCACCGACTAGCACACAAAGCACTTTCCAGAAGGAAATCCCTTCCTACCCTGCCCCCGTGGATTTGCACCTCAGACAGAGCCCTGTACTTATTTTCCCCAACGCTCCAGCAAACCTGGAGATACTCACTAGGGCGTGTTTGCAAGCTGTAACACAGGGCCTGTGCCCAAATGCTGGATTCATCAGGAACAGCTCCATCTGGAGACGTGCCCAAAGTTTCCCATAATAAATACCAGCTGCCTGCTGCATTAAAAGCCAGCCTGATTCTTAAGCCAGGTATAAACATTAACTCATCCGGCTCGCCCTTCAGTCTGTTATCAGGGTTTACAGGAGTGATTCAAAGACTCCTGCACGTCCCATCGAGGTCCAGCACTCAGGGCCGAGTGGTGGGTAACCGGATAGACTGAACATGACCGAAAAGCTCTCTTGGTGTTTTTCGAGGCAAAGGCTAACACGTCTCTGGCAGTGCCTGCTGGCAGAGATGCAGCCTGGAAGCTCAGCTCACTATTTTACCTGTCGAGACAGAGCCCTAAGCTCTCCCAAAGTTCACATTCTCTTACGTACAAAGATGAACTACCGAGGCTACGAAGCGCACGCTCAAAGGAGGAATATTTAACCTCGTGGAGCTTCAGCAGCACGCTCGAGCGTAAAACATGAAAATAAGGGCAGGACCTGGAGAGAGAAACCTGCCACCTGCAGTCAGACATGCAATCACGTCAGGCAAATTCGGTGAGGTGTTACAGAAGAGCAGGGTGGCACAGACAGGCCCACAACTAGACAGGTCTTTTGGCAGAAAGCTGATTTTTGAAAGAGATTTATGGAGTGACAAATGGTTCTTTAGGACTCTGCCTTTCTCAGTGACAGCTTCGCTATGGAGACATGGCATCAAAACCTCACCAGGTTCAAAAGCTTCTCGCCAGCTTGCTCACCGAATTCGGCGCAGCCAACTCCAGCTTCCTGCCAAAGGGCAGCCAAGCACAGCATTTCCCTTTACACCAGGCAGCAAAAGGGGCTGGGCTGCCTCCGCAAGCGAGCAGCACCGCCTGCCGGCACTGTGCGCCTTCCAATCCCGAGCTAATTCCATTTGAAGTGCCTCTGTCATTCAGGAAGGATGATGGAGGACTGGATCGTTTGCCGCTCTTGTCCAAATGTGAACTCGGAAATCGGTTTGCTCACTGCTACCCAAGCACACGGAGACAAGGACAGCACAGGGAATGGGGAAGCGAGCAGCAGAGAAACACCTGGGGCGAGGGGATGGCTTTCCTCTGACAGCGGACAAGGCTGGAAGCAAATCCCTGCCTGCTGAAAAGCTGCTCTCCACTGAACATCATCTCACCCCATAAACCACCAGGATAAACCAAACTGGTATACACATCTGATGCTTAATTTTCTAGTCCCAATATCAACTGTAGGAATCACATCTCAATACCCTTTCGCCTCTCAGAATCACCCTTAACTGTGCCCTCTTCCAAACCGCTCTATCTGCCAGTTCCAAGCACTAACATTCCAGCCTTTACCTTGGACTCGGAAGCTAAGCTGGGTTTTACAGTATTTAACATCATCAATGGCAAACGTTGCCACCTGTGGAGCTAAACTCGGCTATAGTCAAGTCTACTCTCTTTAAATACACATAAGGAACTTCCACTGAAAATACATTAAGCTTTTGTCAAGAATGATGCAAGCAGCCAGAAACGAAGCCTGGTTTCCCATTCTTTGTTGGCAATGCCAAGTGGGTAAGAATAAAGACTCATTTCATTTGTCAGCCAAGTGAGCAGGTCGGGGAATTTCCACAGGATCTAGAATGAAACGGCTTCGCTTTTGCATAGTAAATGTCTGGCCGTAGCTATTTCACGGCAAGATTAGAGTTCAAAAACGGGATTTCTCTAGGAGCGTCTTTTATTCCTTCTTCTCTTCCTCTCTTGCTTTGTAATAGGCCTAAACTGAGGCTTTCCTGAAAAAGAGATTGAGCTTTTGTTCTTCACACCCCAGTTTAACTCTACATCTCAATTCATTCTGCATATGGGATCTCGGTGCTGGGCTACAGTCTCTCAAAGTCATTTTGTCTGTCCCTTCCTAGGACAGACACACCCAGCTGTGGGTACGGGCTGCAGAACGTCCCTGGGAAAGAACATCCTCCCTTAGCAAGTGAGCACCCTCCAACCTTCCCCACACCGTCCATCTCAGGACCTGTCTGAGAACCGGGAGGCCTTCACTGATGTGGGAGACATCTGGCAGCAAGAGCAACGGTATGATGAGATAAGGCAAAAATAACCCCAAAACCCAAAACCCCCAACCAAAAAAAACCTAAGGGAAAACAGAGCCTAGATCCCTATCCCGCCAGGCCACCCTGCCCACCAGAACTCACCCCCCTCCCCAGCTGAGTACGTTTTAGAGTAACAGGTACTAACGGTCTCTGGCTCAAACTGTAGGGTGGGCTGGAGACCATCATCTGGCTGAGAGCAGACACAATGATGAGGATGAGGATAGGCATCAGCTGGACGAACAACCCAAGGCCACCCTGAAGGAACAGAAACACACAGTAGAGTTCCACCTATACACTTGTACGCAAGGACCTTATAGTATCCCTCTCCCTCCCTCCCAGTCCTAACACAGCCTCAATTCTCCTGCTTTTCACTGGCATTTGGCTTAGGAGGCACCCCAAAACAACTGGGGGGAACCCAGCAGCCCACAGTTCACCTCCATAAAGAGCAGCGTGACTCCAAAGGTCCAAACCCGCTGCTCATTCTATGGATGTGACAAAGGGCAGAGGGGACTGGCAGGGGGAGCCTTGCGAGTGAATTTCAAAAGCCTCATGCCTGTATTTTGTTTTTCTAGAGCGTACGTGGTTTCTGTCCTGCTTGTGCTAGTGAGCAGAACTGGTCTTATGGAAAGCCTTCTCCTCTCTTCGGTGTCAGATGAAAGTAATTCCCCCTCTACCTCACCTCCTGAGCTCCCTCCAGTTCTAGCAGAGCACACTTTCCCCTTCAAGTCTGAGAAAAAATATTCAGGAAATTCTTGTTTGTTTGTTTGTTTTTTAAATATACACAGTTGGCTATTCCCAGAAAATGGCAACCTTCAATACATAACCCTGGTCTCTTAAATAGCAAGCCTCTCATTCTCACTTCTCTAGACCAAAGGGCTTGGAGCGCTGGAGACATACTTTGATTTTCTGTGATGGGAAAACATAAAAACAGCTCATGCTGTAAAGTGTCTTCCTTGGTTACTTAAGCATCACAGATTACAAACACCCCATCTTCAATACTGGAATAAAAGGGAGAATGAGTTCATGTTGGGAGGAGCCACAAGTTCCATGTTACCTGAAAAGTGGATTTATCTTTTGAAATTCTACAGAATTAAATCAGAAAGGAAATGTTTATTCTGTGGTAAAGACAGACACATTTTACTGGTGCAAACTTATTTCAAAGTGACACTGTTTCCAGACACACCAGCGTTCCTCCCACTGGATGACAGCTATGAGAGCCCCGGGAGAACAACCACCAGTAAATTAAACAGCAACTTGGTGTGAGCTCTGAAGTCAGCTCACTTCCCACGACTCCAGCTTTCTGTTCAGGGGGGTAGGAAACAAGCAGGACTGTTTCACAAGAGAGCCACACCAACTAGCTCGCGCTTCACGTATCGGAAAAACCTTCCGACTCCCACCCCCCGGCCTGTCCTCCACTTACATCACCCTGATGTTCTCGTCTGTCCTGCCTCTGATGGTAGGTGTATCGCATCCTGCCGTTGCTGTACACGTGAACGTTACCTACAGGCAAAAGAAAACTGTTACACAAACGTCAGAGTACGTGAGACGGTGCTGGCTGGCCAGGAAGGAACCACAAAAGGTGGCCATGTTCCGTGTCAGCCTCACCGATAAAAACACAGTAGGAAAAAGTAGGCTGGGTGCTGACAACAGCAAATACAGGAATTTTAACTGTGAACATTGTCAGAATGGGCTTGATCTGCTTCTTTGGTTTGGGCCACGCTCAGCAAAGATATAAGGACATAGAGATTGTAAAGGAACCCATGCTGTGCTGACACTTAGATCTGGTCTGCTGTTATCACAGCTCTCGGTCCAGCCTATGTCACGTAGCCAGCAGCATGCCAGCCCGTTCCGAGCTGGAAGAAGGACACCACACCTGCCCGGCTGGAGCTGGGATGTCTCAGCGAAATGGTGGTTTGACAGACGTGGGCTATTCCTGAGATGCCTGCAGATGTCCCAGTGCGCAAGGTGTCCATGGTTTTGGTCAGCAGGCCCCACAGCCGAAGCCCCTGACTCAAGCCGCTCCATCACAGTCTTGACAGAGATGGCTGTAGCTTTAGGGTGAAGTGGATATGGGACTCCACAGGGGATTGATAGAAGAATTCATATCCAAAAAATTCTATTCATCACCTGAAGCCAACATTTACAAAACGAGCTACACAAGCCACAGCCAAAAAATGAGTATTCCTAATGTGGACTGAGCAGATATGTCTGAAGGTGAACTGGTGGTGGGCACAGAGATCCATCTAAAGGATTTTGTAGGATTATATGAAAATCCAGGTTAGAAGTGACCTCAGGAGGCCCAACCTCCTGCTCAACACAGGGTCAGGTATGTAGAGAGAGTATCTTGTCCAGGCCTCCTCACTTCTAACTGAATTTGCTTTAGGTCAAAACCAATTACAAAAAGAAAGAATTTTGGTAGTTTTTCCACCCTAAAGACAGAGCTCTTCTATGTCTTGTTTTAAATGTCAAAACTACAGCTGAAAAGGGAGACTGACTGGCTGAGAGAGGAGTCCTGAATTCTCTCGGGACAGTGAGGAAAGGAAAAAAAAAAAAGACTGAGCTAAAATAGCAACCTGCTGGTTTTACTGGAGTAGTTTTACCTCTCTGGCAGGCAGCACACGACTGCTCCAAAAGGCTTTGAGATGACTTTGCAAGTGCCTGACGTTAGTGTGTTAATTCTTACACGCCAGATAGGAAAGAGCTACCAGAGTAGATCTTCTCAATTGAAACAAAAATATTTCTTTTTCCAAGTTGGTCTGCAGAGGTCAAATAAGCGCTGCCTCCACTGCCAGTCAAATATGACCAGGGCAAGTATCTTCTAAAATAACCTTATCCTTATATCAAAGCCGTGTCTTTTTGATCGGGACTGACCAAGTAAAGGAACAGGCAGTCGGTTCTTTCCTGCTACCCAAACCACAATCAGCACTGTGGATGGACAGGACACGGATTTCATTTTCAATTCAAGAGGTTTAAATTATGCTCTAGAAATAACACTTTCCTCTTTTTCATGGGACGCTGTGGAAAGAAGGAAGTGGACGCCTTCTTCAAAACAGGATTATTTTTACAACTAACCTTAAAAAAAGTCATTTTTCGTTCTAACGTTCAGCCCCACCTCGTAACCGTTAATGTTGCCAGCATGCACACAAACACCTGAAGTTGGGAAGAAGTCCAGCTCTGATGGTATTACCTGCTGGACGCTGAGCTCTCCAAGCACCCACCTGAACAATTTAGAAAACTCTAGGTGTTTGGGTCACGTGAGAAGGAGAACTCTCTCTCACCAAACCCAGCGATCCTTGCGTGGCCAAACAAATCACTACTGCACTGTTGCTTTGTCAAAAGGATCGGGTCCCATTCGAGAGATTAAGGTTTAACGTGCTTACTAGAAGGAAAACCACCACCAAAAAACATGTTGAAGAGGTCCTCGGGGGAGATGTCTGCCTCAAACCCGCGGTGGAAGTCCGAGTGACTGTGTCCGTGCCGAGCAGGGTTGAGTTTCTCGTCTCCAAACTGGTCGTATTGCTTCCTCTTCTCCGGGTTGCTCAACACCGCGTACGCGTTACCGATGGCTGAAATATTGACGAGGAGGAAGCAATTAGCTGCTTTCTTCTACAGACAATACATGTAGCCCCGCAAACCGCCAGAACTTGCCTTTCTCATTACACAAACGAGATTCTCAACTACCCACATCTTTTCAACAGGCTACTTCAGCGGCGCAGCACTAGTACCTGGCACGTTCCTCTGCCACACCAAAAGACTCAATGAAAAAGGGCTTAATTAATACAAATGAAGAAGTTATGACATGACTGGTATGAACTCGGTGCATGTCCCTAGAGAAACGGATGAAACTATGAATTGCAAAGGAAATGTTGGTAGTAGAGCAGCTACACGTTTCACTTAGTTAAACTGGTTATTTCTTTTGAACAACTAATGCCCAAATCCTTCAGCCGTAAGCAACTGTACAGGAAAATACAATTTTTTCTTGACAAATTTTATTTGAAAGTGGCATTAAGGGAATTCAATGCCCTAGCCTAAAACCAGCACTGTGAAAAATTTAAATACTGGCTAGATCACTGCAAGAGACTTTAAAATCTCTGATAAAAGCCAGTAGGGAAACGTTGGCTACAAGTTGGGTCTGTCGGCTATGAATTTCAAAATTTCCACATGCCAGAAGTGAGGAGCGTAATTACAAGGACTGTTAATGGTGCTTGTGATGGTGGATATGTGCTGGAGCTAAACCCCCATCAGTTCCCCAGGTCACTCTCCTTCCAGCCTCAGCACGTTTGAGCCTTTCTACTGGAGTGTCCACCTGCCACCCTCCTGTTTCTGTACTTCTCTCTTGACACACTGGATCTTACCACTTCCCCTCTGAACCAACCTACCCTAGAGCCTCCCCACGTGAGCGCAGAGCCTATTCTCTCTCCTCCCTGTGTCACAAGGAGGCAAAAATGTTCACGGCAGAAGTTGCCTGGTGTATAAAAGGCAGAGGCAGAAGTGGTAGAAAAGGGAGATACATGCCCTTTGGAGGAGATTTAACTCCAAGATTCAACGTTTTCCCAGTAGTCAGGTCAAGGTGTACGGTTTCTTCTTGGACTAGAGATTTGGAGCGTGGAGGATGTAATGTCAATACACTCGTTCTCCTTCTCAGTTATAATTAGTGCACGCCGGGCAAACATTTCTACAACCAGGCAAGGAAGCCGGACGACAAGGACTGACTCTCGGCATATTAGCTTGTTCTTTCAAACTGTGCAGTTAAGCCACAAAAAGCGTGCGGTTCAGGGTTTTGTTCGTCGTCTGACTTTCTGCTGACAAAGCCCAAGAAACGCCTCGTTCCAAATCAGGATTTTAGCTCCGAGTAGCCCGGTTCAACTCCTTCTCCAACGTCAGCCAAAGGCAGTGATGCAAATCTGCCAGAAGACAGACAGGCAGCCTACTGCAACTATGGACTGAAACAAGGTCTCAGGACAAGACACAGCACTTTATCAGCTGTCACCGGGAAGACGAATGCCAAGACTTCAGCTAATACATCAGTGTAGGAAAAAATTAACTAAAGTCCTCATAGCAGTGCACGTTTCCCCCTACACCCTCTGGAACCAAACAGCTGGACTTCAGCGAGCCCTGCAAACTAGGAGCTCAGCTCGGGGGCTGAAGGACGGAGGAGCCGACGAGGCAACGCTTGGAGGAGAGATAACGTGAGAGTAGATAGCCCCGCAGTGGAGGATAAAGGGCACCTTGCCTAACGCGCGACTTCTGGCACGTAACTCTCGTCAAAGCCTTCGGCAAACATCATTATTTAAGATTACAGGTGAAGAAACCTGCCTTTCGCCACTTGGCAAGGACCGAAGGATACACTATCGCACGGCGGCCTACTGCACATGCGGCGTAGGCAGATGTCTGCAGATGCTCACTCTAATCTGGCCCCCGGACCAAACCAGGCTCTCCCAAGTCGCTGGGGGTCAGCTCGTTATTTGCTAACAGCAACACACTTATCGGTTACGGATTTAAGTCTTGAAAGACTTGAACAAACCTTACATAAGACTTTTACTGCTGAATTCATGTCTGCTCGGAGCTTACCCCAACACTCTATCAACACACTCACACCAGGCCAGCCTTGCTCCCTGCTCCAGCAGAAGTCTCATGCATTTCACTCCCAACATGGCCAGTATCAGACCACGCTGTTCAAGTGGATTAACACTGCACAACCAGTGCTGTACAACTGGCTTTGAGAAGTTCTGCGTTCAGCTCAATGATAATAATCAAACTTCCACACCTTACAAGGCAAAAATGGGGTTATATGTTCCAAGCAATAGCATTTCTCTTGGAAAATGACTCTGGTTTTAAGGCATCTTATTATTCAGCAAACATTTGTAGAGAGGCCCTGAGAATTGGGCTCTTTGCAGCAGAACTGAAGCTCCCGATGACCTTTTTTGAGTTCTGGCTGGGCTCAGTTGTATGGCTGGTGCGGTTTCACCCCAGAAATTTCCACCTGGGGTTTCTATCCACCAATTCCATCCGCGGGGATGGGTCAGGTGCTGAGTGCTTGCTTAGAAGCCCAGAGGCTTCCTGGCTGTCTGAAATGCTCAATGAGTGGGAGTGTCTAAATACTAGCTCTGAAGAAGTTGAGGTTTCTGCCATTGGGCCTGCCCAGCAATGTTTCTCTCGAGGGGTTCGTGAACCCAACGGCTGCTTCTGGTGCTGCACAAGTTACTGGGTCTCTACTGGATCTGTCAGTAGACGAGGTGCCCCCCAGCACCTGTCTCGTGCTGGATGGCTGCAGGATTTGGAACTTCTCCCTGCTAGGTGAACGCTCCTGCATCTCTCCAAAAAAGAGGACAGTTAACATCCTGAGAGATTTTCCTCCTGAGCAGCGTGGCAGGAGGCTGGAGCAACACACAGGAAGGGCTGCTAGGAGAAAGAGAAAGGCGGCTTCTCCTTGTCCGACTAGCAGAGGTGAATCCTACCTGTGCCAACCTATGTTTATTATTTTAAGCTTACACTTTGTTCATCATACAACCCGCTCAGAAGAGAGACAACTTTACAAAGAAGAGCTTTATTTCACCCTCCCTGACCGGTGAGGTTGTTTTTAAGAGTGCTTGTAGCCCAACTCAGCACCACTGCCTGATAGTCAAGGGCAAATCACAAAGCTGGAGATGTTCTTTACCTTTAAATGCCTCCGTAGCCCCTGGTGCGTGGTTCTTATCTGGGTGAAACTTCAGTGCAAGTTTCCGGTAAGCCTTCTTCAGGTCCTCATCAGAAGCTTCTCTGTTTACTCCCAGAATTTCATAGTAATCTTTGCATTGCTTTACCCTGCCAGTAGAGAGGGGGGAAAACACGCACAGTTAGTTTCATCTGTGAAAACCACTTTGCATTGACTACGTCAGCTCCGCAACATCTCGCACATCGTGGTTTCGGTCGATGGTGTTCAGTGAACTCTGGTTTACTCAGCTCCAATTCCTCAGAGGGTGACCCAATTTTTTTCACCGACTCATTCCCGCTGCGCCTGCATTGCTAGCACACAAACACTCCCACAGAACAAGTCAAGCCAGTAGAGGTAGAAGGGCCTCTCCTCGGGCAATGATATCGCCCGCAAAGGAACGTGATGGGCACGTAAGCTTCAGACTCGTCATGCTCACGTTTTGGAGGCTGCTTGGGAGGGCCTACAATGGCAGGCCAGGATCTGAAGGATAGCTGGGCTATTGGCTTTTTCCCCCCCCCTCTCCTCAGAGTCAGTTAATTCACAAACCTAAAAATAACATCAGCTGAACTCTAGAGGAAGAGAGAGAGAGAGAGAGAGAGAGCTGCCCAGGCCTGCGTGCGAAACCCAGTTCATTCTGGGCTGTTGTGGTTTAACCAGGACATGGGTACACTCACAGCCCAGCAATGGTTTCTCCTTCTCACATGACTTTGATGAAACAGCATAAAGCAGGCTGAGTTTTTGGAGAACTGGATGATGTAACAAGCATCTCCCTAAGTCCATTAGCCAGAGCAGTTCTTGCGCAATTCAGACCACACTCATAACCTTAAACAAAGTTTACCGAGTGACTGTGCCTGCAGTTCAGTCCTTCAACTTCCAGTATTTGGAAATGGTAGAAAGGAATAAAGAGCTTGAAACAGGGTTTGGAAAACAGGTAACTGGACAAACATGTCCTGGGACTTTCCAGCAGGAGCTTTAGAAGTGTCGTGCTAACAGAGCAGAGAGTCCTGCGGTGGATTTCTACTTTATCGAGCTCTAAGAGAGACCATGAGCAGAACATCACCAGGAGAGAGGAAGAAGGATATGCCCCATCTCTTGCTACTAAACCCAAGCTCAGAGCAGGAAGGGCTGCCCACCACAAGCTACGAGCCATGAATTCCACCTACGGGACCTTGGGAGCACACGGGATTTTTCACAGCATTACTGAATAACACTAAAGCAAACATTAATGTCAAGCGCGTGAGACGAACGTACTCAAAACGTCTCTTTGGACCTCAGCCAGGAAGATGTCCACGTGCCTACAGTTCCAGCGCCTCTGCATGCCTTTGGGGGAAAAATCTCATCCCTCGTAGAGCCAACCCCGCCGCCCCCCGGGGCTGCTGTAGCTATAAATCCTCCTAGGTATGCTTTTCACACCCAGCCAGTCAGAAACCACTCAATAAAGCTAGAATCTTTCAAAACACTGTGGAAAACAGACTGGTATGGCATGACAAACTCAAACTGTGAGCTGCAGCCACAGGGAGCTGTGCACGCACCTCTTCACTGCATCCACCTGGTCCTGAGTGTAGCCCTTGGGAGCCTCCCCACCAGCCTCTCCGTTGGCCGATGGGAAGTCTCCGCTCATTTTCTTGAACTGGGGGTTTGTGGACTCTCTGGATTGGGACTGGCCATTGGCCGATTGCTTGTTCTTGTTGAGTGATTCAAGTAGATCTGAAATGAGAGGAAAAAAAACAAAAAGAAAAAAACCCACGAAGTTAAGAGACTGCCAAGCTCAATCTGCCCTTCCAGCTCTCCCACAAAGAGACCCCTCCTCATCTCTGGCACTGCTCTAAGACCCCCCACCCTTCGTCAGAAAGACCCTTGCCTTTTCACCTGAAGAACCCTTGAGCTCCTGCTGCTTCTTGCCCAGATGCGAAGGCTACTGCTGAAGATATTGCCTGCTTCTCCCATCGCACACAACCTCCACCAAAACCCCAGGCCCACGCAGCCGGACAGCCTGGGAGCCACAGTGGATCACCAAAGCGGTGCATCCATGTCTTCTCTTTTCCACCCCCACCCCCCCGGCATCTCTCCTTAACAGCGACGCGTTTCCATGTTTGCTCCCTAGCATATTATGAAGCTTGTTATTCTTCTTCGTCTCCTGCCTCTGAGAGTCTACTGTGCTGGGTGAATTATGTGACAAGGCTCTATCTTTAGAATGCTTAGACAATAATGCCATGGGATGCCAGTGAAACAGGGACACTCCCCTTCCGGGGACTGCGGCACCGATGGCTGGCAGCACGACGGGACCCGTAACGCACGAATCAGAAGGGTGCCCTGTCCTCTTGCGCTGTCTTACCTACGCATTCGGCGCGCGCAGAAGAGGCTGTGAAGCCCACCTTCGCTCAGTTATCAAACACGAATCGCGTTAATTCAGCTTCCCTTTTCTTAACTGGGGTGCACAACATATTGGGTAAACTGCCGCAGACTATCGCCTCCTCCTCGGCAAGGCTCAGGCACCATCCTCCATCCTTTTCAGCCAGGAGGGGACAAACATTCAGGCCTGACCTAACCGCACAGGTGACAACACTGTGAAACCAAATGAGACCCCCCCGAGCACAGAAGTATCTTTCCACAGCACGCATTTCTCTGGCAGCTGGAGAGCACCACATTTTTAAACCATTTTTGTCTTTTTTTAACCAAATATCAGAAGAAGGGAGATTGGATATAAGGAAGAAATTTTTCACTCAGAGGGTGGTGAGGCACTGGAACAGGTTGCCCAGAGAAGTGGCTGCCTCATCCCTGGAAGTGTTCAAGGCCAGGTTGGATGAGGCTTTGGGCAACCTGGTGTAGTGGAGGATGTCCCTGTCCATGGCAGGGGGGTTGGAACTAGATGATCTTTGAGGTCCCTTCCAACCCAAACCATTCTATGATTCTATGCCTGTAGCTTCTGAAGTTTATATATTGCATCCCTGTTCCAAAGAACAGGCGCACATAACATGATTAGATCCAGACGACGTTATTTACAAAGGCATCAGAAACTTGACGAGCCTGCAGTCTTTTATCCAGAGCCTAGAACCCAGAAGAACGTTTCATCTCCTCCTGCAGATTGCACGTTACAGACCTTGCACTATGGGGGTATCACATTCTTTATGCAAGCGCAAACAACGCTTGCAGGCCAAGAGCAGAGCCGAGATATCCTATCTGCCCCGCGGAGCTCGTAGGGGCAAGAAAAAACCACTCGGTAATCCAACAGCCAATACAGGCAACTGTTACGGGACAAAGGATGAAGACGACAGCGGGCGAACGAGCAGTAACTCACTGGATGAGCTTCTGAGCTTGCGGCTTTCACAGATTTCAGCTTTCAGAAAAATAAATCCTTCTCTCACTCATATTTACGCCACAAGAGCGTTCAGAAAATTACAGTCTTTGCTTTTGTTCCTTCCAAACCTGGGGTAATGCGCCAGGCGCTTTTAAACCTCCTCTCGCGAGGCCGTCCCTCCACCCACCCCACTCTTGCTGTTTCCAGCTCGGTTCCCTACAGCTTGCCAAGACATTTTTGGTAGCGTAGTTCCCAAAACCAACCACGGAAGCCCACGTATGGCCGCAGCTCAGTCCTGTTTTGCTCTGCAGCCCCAGTTCTATTGTTTCTGCATCCCAGAGCCACGCTGGTCCTCTCTGCAGTCACAGCACCGGACAAATTCACAAGCTACTGAAGCAGAGACTGCTGGATTAGTTTTCAGTTCTGCCAACTCAGCTCCCCACCAAGCACGTGCTATGGATCAGTTTTCCTGGCTTATTAGCCAACATTTGCTCAACTTCTGTGAATTTTTCCAAAACTTCCACTTAAAGGCGACCAGTAGGGCTTTGTCTATACCAGCGTACCCGGCTGCATTTAGGCAGGAGAAGACTTTTGCTGAAATCTCCTTGCAAAACCCTTTGCTGATCCTGTGACGACACCTGTAGGACCCAGCAGGGTCAGAGTCTGAAGCGCCGGCTGTGCAAGGTCCACGTCGCTGATTGTTGCTAAACCCAATGTAACTCATGAGAAAGAAAGGAGATTTCCCGGGGAGAAACAAGAACTACGTAAAGATGCAATGACTGTGGTGTAATTGTGGGATCTTTGGCAACGTTTCCCAACTACAGACCCAAAGTGCATGAGTGCGCAACCAGCAGCACATCAAGCAAAGTGTCCTCGGACAGCAGCTCAGACTTGGAACTTGTACCAGCAGCATCGCTGGGTCTGGCCACAAATCAGCACACTGTATTCGACATTAACCTGCCCCACTGACCCCCTTTCCTCTCCTGTGCTCCGGTTCTCTACCAGTACGTATCCCATCTTTTATTCTGGGCATTCCAGGCCACGGGATTAGGGCAAAACATGACTGCTTTACGTTGCAAACTGGTGCTTGCTGTCATCCACATCTGTTTCTCTGGTGCACGCCCTAGCAGAGCCCATCAGGAAGAGCGATCCCTGTCAGAGCGGGCCTTTCTGTGTGCTATGCCACGCTTTTTCCTCTAAACGTCACTTTTCCTCCCCAGTAATTTCACAAAAGTGTAAACTCTGAATGGGAAGGAAGACCACACCACATGTACAACAGGCTGATATGCTGTGTTTGAGGGAAGGGGAAGAGGCTTCATGCAACCAAAGAGATGATTACATGAAGCCTTGGGTGCTCTGCAGGACAGTCAAGCTGCAAAACACAGCTGAAGAATCAAAACTCAGATAAGGTCTGTCAAAGTAAAAAAAAATGGAAAAAACAAAACAAAACAAAACAAAACCAATGCTTTGCATAAATTTCTGCAACGTAAGAACACATGGAGAAAGAAACCACTTCCCGGTTGCTTTTCTGGCACATCAGTTATGTACACCATAAAGCTCCCAGGAAAGGAAGGATGGTTTGAGGATCGTTTTTCAAAACCCATAAAACCGGCAGAAAAGCCTCCGAGAAGGAAGATCGTTTTCCAAGCGTGCCGAGAGGAACCGTGCCGGCTCTACTGTGCTAACCAACGGGGGCGCACAAAACGGGAAGCGACCCTTCCCGAGTGGAATGCCCAGGGAAAACAAGCGAGCTCCAACG